TTAGCACTGTGGGTGTTGTGAGCAGTGTGGCCCCTGGAGGACTTAGCGTTAGCACTGTGGCTGTTGTGAGCAGTGTGGCGCCATCGAGGACAAGTGCTGGCTGTTTGCAGACACTAAGCCATTCATGGTAGGGACTGCACTGACCTCAGAAGCTGTGTCCCCCAGGGATCCGGGCATGAAGGGTGACCACACGGTACAGTAGTGTTATCTGCCTGGTGACACACCGCTTGTAAACACAGTACAGCAAAGCCAGTACTGTGCTGACTAAAACACACAGGGTGGGGGCTGTTTTGTCAGTCTTGCTGTACAGCCCAGGCTAGCCTAGAATTTGCCATCCTACCTCATCCTCCTGAGAGCTGGGGTGACAGGCACGGCCCACCATGCCCAGGTACAAAGGCATTTTACATTTCACCTTCTGGACACTGTGCACACCCAGACTTTGGGGAAGCGTGGCCTGCTGTTGGGGGAGCGAGGAGAAGCAGCTTGTGTACTTCCTGGTGCTGTCCAGGAAGTTAACCTGGCTCGGTGGACTTGACCTTAAGTCTCTGTTGAGGAAGTTTGAGACTGTTTAAAGATTGTTAATGTTTAAACCCCACAATGGTCCTATTCAGAGGTCTCTGATTTAACTGTTCACCTGGAAAGCAGTTATGGAAGATAGTCATATCAATAAAGCTGTGTTTACAGGAAACGTCAGCTGTGGGCTCTGGGCTGAGTTTGCTGACCTCTGACTCAGGCAGTTTGAGACAGAGCATCCCTTTTTTAAACGTAAAAGCAGCGTGGTGGCCACAGCCTCCGCAGACCTCGGTGCTGCTGTGCCCGGGTGCTCGCCGCTGCGGTGGCATTTGGACAGCTGCTCTGCAGCCCGCCGTGGGGTTAGGTGGAGCCCATCCCCTGGTAGGGACAGAGGTGCGGCCCAGCTCTGTTTGCAGAGGCTGCGCTGTTTCTGCTTTGGTGACTTTGTGTCCTAGGCAGGTTTCTGTTGATGTGAAAACACTGTGGCCAAAGCAGCCTGGAGAAGAAAGGGTTGATTTGACTCACAGGTTATGGGTCATTATTGAAGGAAGCCGGTGCAGGGACTGAGGCGGAGGCCGCCTTGGGATGTCGCTTACTGGCTTGCTTTCCATGACTTGCTCGGTTTGCTTTTTGATAAAACCCAGGACCACCTGCCCAGAGGTGATCACAATGAGCTGAGCCCTCCTACATCAGTTATTAGTCAAGAAAATGCCCTGCACCCTTGCCTACAGGGCAATCTGAAGGAGGAGGTATTTCTCTCAATTGGTTCCGCTTCCCAGAGGACCAGAGCTTATGTCAAGCCGACAGAAAAGTGACTGGTAAGCATGGCCATCCAGAGTCTTCTCATCTGATTGCTCAAAAAATCTGTGCAGAATATATATATATATATGAGACAAGGATTCTCTGTGTAGCCCTGGCTATCCTGGAACTTGCTCTGTAGCCCAGACTGGCCTCAAATTCAGAGATCTGCCTGCCTCTGCCTGCTGAGTGCTGGGATTGAAGGTGTGTGCCACCACCATCTGGCCTAAAAAAGGAAAAAAATTAAAATGGGAAATACTTAACTAAAGTATTGGAAGTGCCAGTGTGTTTGATAGGTCATCCCTTGTCATATGCTCGCTTCCTCCTTCCTTGCCTCCCTCCCTCCCTCCCGTGACACCTGGCCTGGTATGGTGTCATACGCCTTTAATCTCAGCACTTGGGAGACAGAGGCAGGTGGATCTCTTTGAGTTTGAGGCCAGCGTGGTCTACAGAGTGAGTTCCAGGACAGCCAAGGCTACACAGAGAAACCCCATCCAAGCAAACAACAACAACAACAAATCACCTTAAAGTGAAGGTCTCCATTCTCACCGCCCACTTGGGCTGAGATTCTAACCCAGGGCCTTGTTTGTGCTAAACACAGGCTACCATTGAGCTGCGTCCTCAGGACCCTTTCTGTTTTCTAAAACAAAAAAAAATTAGGCATAGTATAGTGGCTGCTGGTGCCTGTAGTCCCAGCACCCAGGAGGCTGAAGCAGGAGGATCACTGAGGGTTCAAAGCCAGCCGGAACTAGAGTGAAACCCTCTCTTAAAAACAGACAAAATTATCTTTTAAGCAAATATTAACTTTAACTGGTTTTGAAACATAGTGAAGCCATAAGTGAGAGTCCGCAGGCTTTGTCATGGCTTTTCTCATTTATAGACTTTATCCTGTTGTGGTGGGACATGTCTGTGGTCCCAGCAGGTGGGAGGCTGGAGCGTTCACGGCCAGTGTGGTCTACACAGTAGAACTGTTCTCCCAATTCCACCACCAAAGACAGACTTTTAACACAAAAGCAGTTCTTAGGTTCGCTGCAGGGAAGCCTGGGGTGGGGAGGTTTGCAGAGTTTACAGTTTAGATCTTAGAAAGTCTAAAGTGGGTCAGAGGAGCGTGGAGAATCCAATCTGCAGTGTTCCTGCAGCGTGGCGCCCAGTCACTCAGACGGTGGCCGTGACTCCCTCCTGGTGGCTGCTCTCCTTCCTGAGACCCTTGCTCCCATCAGCAAGGGGTCGTCCTGGCTTTGCAGTTTGAATGCCTTCCTGGGCGGTCATGCTCTAGGACACGGTGAGGCGTCCCTTTTCCTGGTGTTGTGGTGTAGACATACTGTGCTGCGGTCACTGGTGATGTCAGTCAGCTCTGCCTCAGTGGACAGTGGAGTCTACACAGCGGAGAACAGCCAGCGGACTCTGGAGGGGAGAGAGCAGACTGGGGGTCTGTCCCTGGCCTTCCCCCTTGGATTAGTCACTTCTGTGTCCGGACGGAATTAGTCAGTTTAAGGGGAGGCATATCTTGGCTCCTGGTTTCATGGAGATTTCAGGCTCTCGTGGTTCCCACCCATCTCCCATCCCTGCTCCTGTGAAGGACAAGTCCTCTCTGCTTCCTATTGAGCAGTGACGTCGCCCATGATGTCGCTCGGAACAGTTCACGTTCTCTTCCAGCATGGCGTTCCTGCTCTGCCCTCTGGAGACTTCATTGGGGTGGCAGCTGTCATGTGAGGGGAAATGACCTAAGCCTCCCCGACTCTCTGGACAGCCTGAGAAATGTCAGGTTTCTCACAAATGTGGACACAAGGTTTGTTATTCCTGTTTGCAAATGTGAGTCATCTCAGATGATACCTAAGATGTGAGTGCTGTGCTACACCCATTATACAGATGAGCGATTTGGGGGTTTACGAGATACGGTACCGTTGCTTGGGTCCCTGAGTGGTACCAATCCACAAGCCTCAGTCCAGTATGGGAGCCAGAGTTCCCTTCCTGTGGTCTGCTTTGGAGATGGTGACCTTATTGTGGGAACTTCTGTGTTTTTATTTGGCAGATTCTCGGCCCTGGTTTTAAGATGATGGGATTGGGAAATGGGCGTCGCAGCATGAAGTCTCCGCCCCTTATCGTGGCCGCCCTGGTGGCCTGTGTCATTGTGCTGGGCTTCAACTACTGGATTGCGAGCTCCAGAAGTGTGGAACTTCAGGTATCTTGTTGATTTAGAATGCATGGATGCAATTAAATGTCTAAAGTAGCTGGGCGACAGTGCCATGGGCCCCCTGTCACTGTCAGCCAGTCCCTGGGTTCCGGTAGCCTACACTAATGGTGTTTTAGGTCCCAGTCCCCTCCCCAGCCCTGGTCCCACCCCCTGGCCAGTACTGCTTACTCTGACTATTGAGTTACAGTTCACACCTCACTCTGTGTCCCAGTTGAGCATTTGGGGAGGGCTAGAACGCTGGCCTACAGAGGTGGACTGGACTCTGCCCATTCCTGTCCTACAGTCCACCGGAGAAACCAGGGGCCACATATCACAGCCAGTTCTGGGTGAGGCCATGCTGTCCTGGCCGTTGTTGTTGGCTTGATTTTTGTCAGCTTGACACAAGAGTCATCTGAGAAGAGGGGACCAGAGTTGAGAAAATGCTTCCATAAGATTGGCCTGGGGGCGAGCCTAAGGGGCATTTCTTAATCAGTGATTGGTGAGCCCATCCCAATGTGGGGGGCGTATGCTGATAGAGAGGGAGGGGAGTCCCTGGGTTGCACAGAAAGAAAGCAGTTGGTCAAGCCAGGAGGAGCAAGCCAGTAAGCAGCCCTCCTCTGGTCTCCGCTTCATTTCCTGTCTCCAGGCTCCTGCCCTATCTTCTCTCACTGATGGACTGTGATCAGGATGTGTCAGCCGGATAAACCCTTTCCTCCCCAGGCTGCTTCTGGTCATGGTGTTGATCATAGCAGCAGAAACCAAAGACACATGCTAAACAATGACAAAGTGTCTCCTGCACAGACTTGAGCTCCCTGAGGCCTCCTGGTCTCTAGGTCATCATCGTTGGTTTTGCTCCGCCCTGTCTAATCCCGCAAAGAATACGCTCATCCCTCCCCTAGATGTCTAGGTCACTGGCTGCCTCTGGCAGGTGTCTAATTAAAGTATTTTAGCAAGTCCCCGTTGTGTCCTCTGGGTAATCTTGCACCCACCACCCCTCCCTGGCTCTGTATTTGCTGGGCTGTAAGCTTTGGCCCTGTGAGGTCTGTTGAGGGAGCTGCAGTGTCTTGGCTGATGATGTGGACCTTCAGGGCCATGTTTTCCTTGTAGTCACGCATTGTGGAGCTGGAAGTCCGGGTCCGCAGGGCAGCCGCAGAGAGGGGTGCTGTGGAGCTGAAGAAGAATGAGTTCCAGGGTGAGCTGGAGAGGCAGCGAGAGCAGCTGGACAGGATCCAATCCAGCCACAGCTTCCAGCTGGAGAATGTCAACAGGATGCACCAGGACGAGAAGGTAGGCCACTGTCCCACCGTCCTCTTCCGAGGGACACTCTTTACCTGGCTGTGTGGCCGCATTCTGAGTGTAGGTTTATGTAATTGTATAGAGGTGTGAGGCCTGGTGCAGCTTTGGGCACCAGCCCCTACGCTCCACTGTTCCTGCTGAAATGTTTGCAGGGTCAGCAGTGGGGGCGTGAGCAGAGCAAGGTGGGGTGGCATTTGCCTGCTTTCTTTTCTGCCAGGCTGTGTCAAGTACTTGCCATAGGCAGATATTTTTTGTGTCTTCAGATATCTCACACACAAATTGGAAGCAGCCTATAAACCAAGGAGGATATTGAACATGCATGTCAAAATCTAGTCTCCATAAGATCTAAAAAAATACCACCAATCCAGAAAACAAAAGGCCAATGCCCTTAAAGATTTTGAGTGGAAGGTATAAATACAAAATTGGAAGAAGAGAAAACAAAAAGCAAGCCATACAGGAAAAGACTAAAGCAAATTAAATATGAAATACACTTTTTGGCAAGAAACATCACCCAGAGGGAAGGTATTATTCTCTAACATCTAACACTATCAGCAAAGAGGGAGGACTCAGCACATGGGCTCTAAGCCACACCTTTTTTTTTTTTTTTTCCTCGAGACAGGGTTTCTCTGTGTAGTTTTGGTGCCTGTCCTGGATCTGACCAGGCTGGCCTCGAACTCACAGAGATCTGCCTGGCTCTGCCTCCCTAGTGCTAGGATTAAAGGCGTGCGCCACCACCGCCCCGGCTTACGCCACACCTTATACCAGCTGAAAAAATGCCTCCTGTTCATTGATGTTTCTGGGGGTCATGTGACTAAACTCCCTTTATTCAAGTCTAAGATGGTGGAAGTCAGTGTCTTCCAACCCAAAGCACATCAAAGCCATGGACGCTTGCTGCCCGCCTGCCTCGCTCTTCACAGCGCTCCTCCCTGGCTGTGGCTGCAGTGTTGGAAGGAGGCTTGTGTGAGGGCTGTGGTGTTGGTCTTAGGTCCCTGTGACACACGCCTGAGAGGACCCTCTTCGTGGAGGGCCTGCCCCTCCCCCGGTGGTGCTGAGGACGGGGCAGGAGCTCAGTCCCGGTGGTAGGACTTCTCGTTTTATTGCACCCCAGCCCCGGCCTGTGGCATGGTGCATCCTAGTTCAGTGTGGTCTTCCCTTTTAGTCTGGTAGAAACAACCACACCCCCAGCTACACTCAGACTCCTTACCAGTCTCCTCGGCTTCCCTAGTCTGATCAAGACAGTCACTTCAGCTGAGCCTTCCACAGGCTTCTACCCACTCCTCCCACAGTAGCAGAGGTTGAATCTAGGGCCTCTCATCGGTTCCCTGTTCCAATTAAAAAAATGTGTTTAAGTTTTGGAATAGGGTCCTACTAAGTTTCCCAGGCAGGCCTTGACCTGACTGTGTAGCCCAGGCTGGCCTTGACCTGACTGTGTAGCCCAGGCTGGCCTTGACCTGACTGTGTAGCCCAGGCTGGCCTTGAACTCAGGGTTTTTGCCTCAGCATCCTTGGTGTTAGCGCTTTCGTTGCAGATGTGGGAGCTGGGTCTCAGAGAGCCCACAGCTGTCACTCAGGGTGAGATCTAGACCCTTGGTGGCCCCAAGGGCCAGCCTGTCCTTTGCTTTCAGCCACCTTCTTCTTCTGCTGACCCCGTTCCTTCACGGGCCCCACCTGCTGAGGGGCCATCCTGGTCTGGGAAGGTCACTGGTGTGACTGGATGTTGGGGACATGCAGGTGGCATGGCTCTGCCTGCCTTGCATTGCAGACACTCACAGCACACCCTTTGTCTGGGCTTCGGGAGACTGTGGCTTCTGACAGCGGTGAAGAAGTACTTCATGTGTGGCTGAAGCCTTGCTCCTTCTGAGGCGACCAGGTCCGGCTCCCAATCCAGTTCCCCAGTGTCTCTTCGTGGGTCTTCTGAGGTTGTGCTGATAAGGAGCAATGCCCAGTGGTGGAGTTTTCTTAACAGTGGTTATGTCATCTGTCTGTCTGTCTGTCTATAGCCACTGGCCATGTGAGGCTATAGAATGCTTGAATGGTGGCTAACAGGTGGAATTTAATTTTAACTAGTTGAAATAAAATTGTCAAATATGGGCAGTGGCTGTACTGGCTGGTGTAAGTATGGGTGATTGGTAAGGAAGCAGATCTGGGCTGAAGTTTTAGGAGTCATGTTCCGTGAATAAGCAGACTCATGGGTCACAGGTATATGTAGGGCTGGGCACGCCAGTTCTAACAATCTGATATCTGAAGTGTACCACATTCTGAAATGTTTTAAGGGTATGGATTTGGGCGCACTTGGGATGTCATATTTTCAGATGAGGTATGCTGAATGAGTCAAGTTCGTGTAAATACACTAAAACCTGAAACACTTTGATCCTGGTATACTGGCTGTCCAAAGCATCTCCCCAGCAGGAGTGGGAAGTGGAGGGTGAGACCACCCTTGACCGGTGCCTGCTCCCCTGAGAGTCTCACTGTGTGCTGTTCAGCTGCTGGGCTATTGCTCAGTTCATCAGCCTGCTGTGTAGGCCTTGCTGTGGGGTTTGAACTTGGGACCGAAGGTGTATCAGTAATTGAACCTTACAAGTTACCGGGATGGTTCACACTTCACATCTCAGGCCCAGTGACCAGCACAGCCTCCAGCCCATGCTGTGGCTGCCCTGCGCAGGTGACTGTTTTGAATTCAAAGCTTTGCATTTGATTCAGGTGAAAGGACATAGTTGTGCTCTGGTTTCTGTTCCTGCATCTCAGGTTACGTTGAAGCAGTGGTTAAATCCACACTGAGCATGCTTGGTGGGAGAGATTGTGTTTGCTGCAGCTCTGTTGCCTGGAGTGCCCAGAGGCTTGCTGACAGCAGCCTGAGGACTCAGTCAGTGGCCTGTCACTGCATCTGTCGCTGAGAGCTTCACTGCAGAACTTGCTTGTCTTTCCCACACACCTGCTCGACCTCCTTACACTGGAGCTCACATCCAGCCAAGAGAAAGACCTTCTGTCTGTGTCTGTTAGTCCTGCCATAACAAGTGACCACACAGGAAGTGGCTTAAACCAGTGTAGAGTTTCCACTTTCACATTTCTCAAGGTCAGCAGCCTTAAAGGTGTCAACAGGGTCCTGTCCTCTGGCTTTCAGAGATCCCTTGTAGACATGTTGCTCCAGTTTATTCCTCCCCACTCATGTGGCCTTCTTCCTTTTGGGTTTCCATGTCTCTGTCTCTTTCTTGTGAAGGCAAAAGGGACAGGGACTATCATTAGCTTCATTAGTTCTGTGTGGATACGCCGCGTTTCTGAATGCCATCACTCACTGGTTCCAAGTGATGAATCTTCAGATACATCTACCCCATCCACAGTGTCTTGTGCGCTGTGTGTCAGCAGGGTCACGCCTACTGTGCTCACTGTACGCACAGTGGTGAGGCGGCCACCGCCGCCTTTGTGAGCAGTGTCAAAGGATTTGATCGTAGCAATGTTTTTGTGTGTTTGTTTGTTTGGTTGGTTTTCCGAGACAGGGTTTCTCTGTATAGTTGTGGTGACTGTCCTGGATCTCACTCTGTAGACCAGGCTGGCCTCAAACTCACAGAGATCTGCCTGGCTCTGCCTCTCAAGTACTGGGATTAAAGGTGTGCGCCACTGCCGCCTGGCCATAGCAATGTTTTTAAACTACCAGTAAAATACTGTGCTTCCTTCTGTGTGTACATGTTCGTGTGTGTGTGTGTTTGTGTGTGTGTGTGTGTGTGTGTGTGTACACATGTGAGTGCACATGTACTTGTATTCATGTGGAGAATGGAGGTTAATGTCATGTCTCCATCAATCACTCTCCGACTTGTGTTTTGAGAAAGGCTCTCTTGAATTTAGATAGACCGGCTGCTCAGCAGACCCCAAGTGTCCTCGTGTTTGTCTCCCAAGAGCTGGGATTATAGGTCTGTGCCACAGAGTGGCTTTTTTCATACATGCTGGGGACCTGCGCCCAGGTCGTAGTGTTCGCATATGGAGCTATCTCCCCAGCCGTTTTTTGTTAGTTTGAGGGTTTTTTTTTTTTTAAGATGTACTTATTTGTGTGTCTGTGTCTCTCTGTGTGAGTGTACGTGTACATATGTGTGCAGAGCAGATGCCACAGGAGGGCTTGGGGTGTCCGCTTCTGTTGCTGTCCTCTGCTTCTACCCTGAGGCAGGTCTGTCCCTGTCCTGGGTTAGGCTGCACAGTCCTCCTGTCTGTCTGCCTTGGAGCTGGGACTGCAGGACAGGACACGGAGATGGGTTTGTCACAGGGCACCAGGACCTGAACTCTGGTCCTCGAGATTGCACAGAAGTCCTCTTTCCTGCTAGCCATCTCCCTTGCCCCATTGTTTGGAGGCAGTCTGACCTGAAACTTACTGTGTGGCCCAGGCTGGTCTCAGACTCACAGTAATCCTCCTGCCTCAGATTCCAAGTACTGAGATTACAGGCGTAAGCCATCATTCCTAGCTCAGCAGGATTTCCCTTTAACAGGTGCATATATGTGTACATACAAAAATTTGTCTTCATTTGGTTTTATTCATTAATTGGTTTATTTTCAGTTTTGGGGTGCTAGGATTGTAGGCATGAGCCACCAAACCCTGCTTAAAATATGTTTCTAAAGATGTAAGAGGCAGCAGAGCTTGAGGTTTTAGTTGACAGAAACCTGTAAATATTCACTAGTGAGGCTCTGCATTGTCTCCCAGGTTGAGTTCATTCTGTTGTGTTTTCGTCAGCAGGCTGATTCGGGGTCTGGTGATCTACTGCGTTCTTGGGTCGGGCGGGGAGATCCTGGGGCGATCCTGGGCACTCATTAGCACTGTCAGGACAAACGTGGGTCTTCCTGCCACTCACTCGTGTTTGCCTGCCAAGCCTTAGTCGGAAATCGCCTCTGGGCAGTGTCTGTGCTGGTGACGTCCCTTGCTAGGCTGGTTCCTGGCAGCTGTGTGTCGGCCTTGACATTCATACTTTCTGTGTTCTATTTAAACTTGTTAATTAGCCTGCGGGGCACAAA